AACAAAGATAAAACCTGTGACAGGGCCACTAGCATCAACCGAATCATCCAATACAGCACAAACAATTCAAGCATCAGCTTCATTATCACTAACAACTAAATACCTTGAAACAAAAGAGGTTATCCCTCCAACAACCACAGAATCATCAGTTTTTAACAGTGAGACATTGAGACCATTAACACTACTGACGCCTACAAACATATATGAGCCAATAAATATGAAATCTTTTACAACAACATTATTATCAACAAAATCACCAACTATTGCAAAGTCAGCAACAACACCACCACCACAGTCCATTGCATCAAAAGCAATAACATCACTTACTTTATCATTGACAGAGACAATTAAAGAACAGAAAAAGCACAGCATCAAAAACTATCGACACTACAACAGAGGCAAAACCTGTGACAATGCCACAAGCATCAACTGAAGCACTGAGTAAAGCACAGAAAACTATGGCAGCAACATTACTATCAATAACAACTAAATCCTTTCAGACATCAACAAAGATCATTCCTCTTTACAACTACTGCAGCATCACCAGTAAGCAAAAGAGTGACAATGACGCCATCTACATTACAGACACCAACAAATTCTATCAAGCCAATCAATATAAAATCTTTTACAACATTATGCTCAACAGAATCACCAACTACAGTGGAGACAACAACCAAAGAAATAACAATACTTCCCACAAACAACATCTTCAGAGACTTTAGTGACAACAAGAAAGCCAACAACTTCATCAACTCATCAAATATTGACACATTCTACTGGAGCAACAGATATAAAAACTAATTCAGCACCTTTTGCATCAAAAGAACTAACAACTGTGGAGGCAACAACCACAGAAACAACATCGCTTCCACAAGCAGTATCCTTGAAGACTACAACATTAGTGACAATAGCTTCAGTGTCAACTGAACCTTTGACTGCAATGCAGAAAACAACAGTTTTGGCACCACATATGCCAACAAAAGAATCAATTGGCACAACAGCAGAGATATCATCTGTCACAACAGCATCCACATCAAAGAAATTGCGAACTACAGCAGAGACAACCACTACAACATCAATCTCCCCAACAAAAAAAGTACTAGAGACTGCAACAACAAATTCAAAATCTCTGATGGCAGCTTCCCCAACAAAAAAAAAGTACTAGAGACTGCAACAACAAATTCAAAATCTCTGACGGCAGCTTCTGTATCAACAAAATCGCCAACAACATTAGTACTGCCAACAACAGTATCCAGGGAGACTATATTGGCAGAAGCAACAGTCTTATCATCAACAGAACAAGGGACTACAGCTGAGAAAAGTATAGCAACCACAGTGGTTCCAATAACAACAACAATAACACAACAGCTCATTACATCAACAGCAAGAACATTGCATACAACACCTTTATCATTAACAGAAACAACTGCAGAAAAGACAAGTGCAGCATCAAGAACAGTGGAAACTGCAACAGAGATAAAACCTGTGACAGAGCCACTAGCATCAACCAAAACATTGACTTCAGCACAAACAATGCAAGCATCAGCCTCATTACCACTAACAACTAAATCCCTTGAAACAAAAAAGGTTATCCCTCCAACAACCACAGAATCATCAGCGATGAAAAGAGAGACATTGAGACCATTAACACTACTGATGCCAACAAACGTAAATGAGCCAATGAATATAAAATCTTTTACAACAACATTATTATCAACAAAGTCACCAATGACAGCAGAGTCAGCAACACCACCACCACAGTCAATTGCATCAACAGCAATAACATCACTTACTTTATCAATGACAGAGACAACTGAAGGACAGAAAAGCACAGCATCAAAAACTATCAACACTACAACAGAGACAAAACCTGTGACAGTGCCACAAGCATCAACTGAAACATTGAGTACAGCACAGAAAACTATGGCAGCAACATCACTATCGTTAACAACTAAATCTTTTGAGACATCAACAGAGATCATTCCTCTTACAACTACTGCACCATCACCAGTAGGCAAAACAGTGACAATGACACCATCAACATTACAGACACCAACAAATTCTATCAAGCCAATCAATATAAAATCTTTTACAACATTATCCTCAACAGAATCACCAACTACAGTGGAGACAACAACCAAAGAAATAACAATACTTCCACAAACAACATTCTCAGACACTTCAGTGACAACAAAGCCAACAACTCAGCAAATATCAGCATATTCCATTGAAGCAACAGATATAAAAACTGTTCAAGCACCTTTTGCATCAAAGGAATTAACAACTGTGGATGCAACTACAGCAGAAACAACCACTACACCATCAATCTCACCAACAGCAAGCATACTAAAGACTGCAACAGCAAATTCAAAATTTCTGACAGCAGCTTCAGTATCAACAGAATTACCAGAAACATCAGTACTGTCAACAACAAAATCCCAGGAGACTATATTAAAAGAGGCAACAGCCTTATCAACAACAGAAAAAACTGACTGCGGTTGAGTTTGGTACAGCAACCATAGTGTTTCCAACAACAACAGCACAACATTCCATTGCATCAAGAGCAATAACCCCACTTACAACAACTTTATCATCGACAGAGGCAACTGAAGAACAGACAAGTAAAGCATCAACAACTGCGGAAACTACGTCAGAGATAAAACCTGTGACAGTGCCACAGGCATCAACCAAAACACTGATAACAACACAGACAACTATGGCATCAACATCACTATCACTAGCAACTAAATCCTTTGAGACACCAACCGAGATAATACCTCTTACAACTACTTCAGTGTCTCCAGTGATCAAAACAGAAACAATATTACTTCCACAAACAGCAAGCTCAAAGACACCAACAGGGACAATTACTTCATCAACTCAACAAATATCAACATATTCTATTGGAATAACAGGTATAAAATCGCTTTCAACACCTTTTTCATCAAATGAACCAACACCACTGGAGGCAACTACCACAAGAAAAACATTACTTTCACCAACAACATCCTTGAAGACCACAACAATGGTGACAATAGCCTCAGCATCACTTGAACCTTTGACTACTATGCAGAAAACTACTGTTTTAGCATTAAGTCTGCCAACGAAAAAAAATCATTTGAGGAAACAACAGACATAGCGTCTGTCACAACAGCCTCCACAGTAAAAAAATCAACGACAGCGGAGGCAACCACAACAAAATCAATCCCAACAACAACAAAAATACTAGCGACTACAACAACAAATTCAACATTTCTGACAACAGCTTCAATATCAACAGAATTACCAACAGCATCACCAATGCCCACAATACATTCTTTGTGGACTAAACTGACAGAGGAAAAAGTTTCCAACGTCAACTGAAAAACTGACTATGGTTGAGACAAGTACAGCAGCCATAGTGGTTCCAACAACCACATCACAGTCCATTTTATCAACAGAAATATCATCGCTTACAAAACCTTTATCAGAAACAACTGCAGAACAGAGAAGCAAAGCATCAAACATTGTGGAAACTAAAACAGAGACAACATCTGTAACAGTGCCATCAGCATCAACCAAAACACTGACAGCAGCACAAACAATTCAAACATCAACATCATTATCATTAACAACTAAATCCTTTGAGACAACAACAGAAATAATCCCTCTTACAACAACCACAGCATCACCAGTGATCAAAAGAGAAACAATGACACCATCAACACTACTGACACCAACTTATCCTATCGAGCCAATGAGTTTAAAATCTTTTACAACAACATTATTATCAACAAATTCACAAACTACAACAGAGACAACAATAGAAACAATGTTACATCCACAAACAACATCCTCAGAGACCTCAGTGACCACAACAGAAATAAAGCCTTCATCAAATGAACAAGTATCAACAAGCTCCACCGCAAAAACATATAAGAAACCTCTTGCAACACCTTTTCCATCATATGAACCACAAAATACACAAGAAACGGTTGTTGGGGTAACAACATCTTTGCCACCAGTAATAAAATCTTTGACATCTACACTTGTACCAACATCTGAATCAATAACTTCTATAACAGCAACAGAAATAATCCCATCATACACACAAGGCTTTAAAAATTCTCCTTACACATTATTGACAACTTTTGGCACAAGAATGACAACTTCAGTTGAAAAACGAACAGAAGAATTAACACGAACATTAATAACAGCTGAAAAGTCAAGTACATCACCTTTGCCAACAGGTAAGGTCATATGTTTTTAGGGCTATTGAATGTTTCAGACAAACTTTCTGTTTGACGCTATGGTCACATTTACCTCTTTATACCTTTATAAATTGTTTTAATGAGAAAAACGTACATTACAATATTATCAAACTGCACATTCATAGAGCTTTTGTATAAACTCCAACAAACCTGATTTCTCTGCCATCTACTCATCTGGCCAACGTGATTGTATAAAATTTGTATGGATTCTATGAGAAGGCCTTCATACCTGCTCCCCTAATCCAATATTTGTTAGGAACAAACGTATCAATTATAGCACTTATAGCTGCAAGTCTACTGGAGCAATTCATCTGGTTTCTGCAACTTTTCCCATTTTTTTGGCAAAATTGCTCTAGCCCTGTCAAGTTGGATGGGGACAACTGATGAACAGCAATTTCTTGCCATTGATTCCTAATTGGATTGAATACTAGGTATTGATTGAGAACTGTATTACAACAGGGTTGTTTTATCCACTTAAGTGTAGTTGTAACTGTTTGTTTAGGGTTATTGTCCTGATGGAAGGTAAATGTCTGCCCCGTTCTACATTCTCTTCTCATTGACATGAGTATGCTGCACTTACATTATAAAGGAATATAAACACATGAGATTCTATTACAATATTTTTCAGTCCCATAAGACATACTTTTTCCCCCCCTAAAAAATGGGGTAAAATGTCTGTGCATCTTATGGAGCAAATATGAAATGGCCAGCCCAGAATTGCCCATCACCGCTATGTTAGAATAGCGGGCCGGCCGCTTGGCTCTTCTGTGATCCTCGGTCCTACCTGTTCCTCAGTCCAGCGCTGTCCTCACCATCTTCTTTCCCCGGCGTCGACATCATTTAGTGTCGGCACCTGGCTGTGACAGCCGGGTGCCCACTGCGCATAAGTAAGAAGCGCTGCGCTTTGTGAATGGTCCAGCAGTCTTCTGGGACCTGTCACGTGTCCCAGAAGATGGAGAGGGAGGACAACTTCGCGGAATTGGGAGCATGCACCTGTCAAATTTGGGTACCCGCTCCCCCCCCTCTGTTCCCCAAAGGTCCACAGTCTCTGGTCATCCCCTGTACTATGTCCGTAGATTCTGGTCATCTCATGTACTATGTCCGCAGTCTCTGGCCATCTACTGTACTATGTCTGCAGTCTCTGGCCATCTCCTGTAGTATGTCTGCAGTCTCTGTTAATCCCCTGTACTATGTATGCAGTCTCTGGTCATCTCCTGTACTATGTCAGCAGTCTCTGGTAATCCCCTGTACTATGTCCGCAGTCTCTGGTCATCTCCTGTACTATGTCTGCAGTCTCTGGTCATCTCCTGTACTATGTCCGCAGTCTCTGTTCATCTCATGTACTATGTCCGCAGTCTCTGGTCATCTCCTATACTATGTCTGCAGTCTCTGGTCATCTCTTGTAATACATCTGCAATCTCTGGTCATTTCCTGTACTATGTCTGCAGTCTCTGGTCATCTCCTGTAGTATTGTCTGCAGTCTCTAGTCATCTCCTGCAGTCCATTGGTTCAGAATATTTTTTTTCTTGTTTTCCTCCTCTAAAACCTAGGTGCGTCTTATGGTCAGGTGCGAGCAAAAAATTGTTGTTTCCATACATGGTGGACCTGAATCCTCAGTATTCCCCGATGACTGATGCAGTGAAGGAAATAAGTATTTGATCCCCTGCTAATTTTGAATGTTTGCCCACTCACAAAGAAATGGTCAGTCTAAAAATCAAATGGTAGGTGTATTATAATGCTGAGAGACAGAATAGCAATAACAAATTCAAAAGAAGTGCATGTCTAACAAATTATGCACTGATTTGCATGTTCATGAGGGAAATAAGTATTTGATCCCCTTCACAAAACATGACTTAGTACTTGGTGGCAAATCCCTTGTTGGGAAGAGGTCAGGTGTTTCCTGTAGTTGGCCACCAGGTTTGCACACATCTCAGGAGGGAATTTGACCCACTCTTCTTGGCAGATCTTCTCCAAGTCATTAAGGTTTGGTGGCTGACGTTTGGCAACTCGAACTTTCAGCTCCGTCCACAGATTTTCAATCAGATTAAGGTCTGGAGACTGGCTAGGCCACTCCAGGACCTCAATGTGCTTCTTCTTAAGCCACTCCTTTGTTGCCTTGGCCGTGTGTTTTGGGTCATTGTCATGCTGGAACACCCATCCACAACCCATTTTCAATGCCCTGGCTGAGGGAAGAAGGTTTTCACCTAAGATTTGATGGTATATTGCCCCATCTATCTTCCCTTTAATGCAGTGCAGTTGTCCTGTCCCCTTAGCAGAAACACGCCCCCAAAGTAGAATGTTTCCACCACCATATTTGACAGTTGGGATGGTGTTCTTGGGGTCATAGGCAGCATTCCTCCTCCTCCAAACACGGCGAGTTGAGTTGATGCCAAAGAGCTTGAGTTTGGTCTCATCTGACCACAACACTTTCAACCAGTCCTCCCCTGCATCATTCAGATATTCAGTGGAAAACTTCAGATGGCCTGGAAATGTGCTTTCTTGAGCAGAGGGACCTTGCCGGCACTGCAGGATTTCAATCCTTGTCGGCGTAGTGTGTTACCAATTGTTTTTTTGGTGACTGTGGTCCCAACTGCCTGGAGATCATTGACAAGATCCTCACGTGTAGTTCTGGGATGATTCCTCACTGTTCTCATGATCATTGACACTCCACAAGGTGAAATCTTGAATGGTGCACCAGACCTAGGGAGACTAACAGTTGTTTTTGTGTTTCTTCCATTTGCGAATGATTGCACCAACTGTTGTCAGCTTCTCACCAAGCTGCTTGGCGATAGTTTGGTAGCCCAGTCCAGCCTTGTGTAGGTCTACAATCTTGTCTCTGACATCCTTGGACAGCTCTTTGGTCTTTGCTATGATGGATAGTTTGGAATCTGATTGTTTGATTGAATGCTCCTGTGGACAGGTGTTTTTTATACAGGAAACAAAATTAGATTATCAGCACTCCCTTTAAGAGACTGCTTCTAATCTCAGCTTGTTACTGTATGAAAGACACCTGGTAACCAGAAATTCTGCTGAATGATAGGGGATCAAATACTTATTTCCCTCATGAACATGCAAATCAGTGCATAATTTGTTAGCCATGCATTTCTGTTGAATTTTTTATTGCTATTCTTTTAGTGTTACAATACACCTACCATTCGATTTTTAGACTGATCATTTCTTTGTGAGTGGGCAAACATTCAAAATCAGCAGGGGATAAAATACTTATTTCCTTCACTGTAAATAGCAGGTAGAAGTGTGTGTGACTTGCTACTCAGACGAAGGCCCACACTAAACAACAATGCTAGATTGTTCATGACTATCACCAGTCTCCGTAACCTGTACAAGTCAAATTATATTGTATTGAAAGTCTTTTTTAGGGTTCATGTATATGGCAGCAAACCAAGCTGCTTAAATGATTCCCTCACTCAACCAGATATTTGCAAGTTTGAAAAACTGCCAAATATCTGATCTTTTCCTGAGCAAGTGAAACATCTCCATACAAGCACGAATTTTATAAGTTTGTCTATGAGGTACTTGAATTCACTAATGCTTTTAGCTATTCAGCAGCCTTGAAGTGATACTCCACTTCAGAAAACAAAAGACACAAAAATGAAGAGTAGGTGGAATACTCATTGCCTAGTTGCAAAAATGGTATTAAAGGAACTGTATCTTCTGGTGCCAAGATCATGATGTCAGCACAGGACTGCTGCTATTCATGTGTGTTAAAGTTTAGATTGAGGGTTAGTGTGACACACCTTGGTTGGAGGCTTAGTTCACAAGAGCGCTTCTCTTGTGGTTCTGGTCCAAGCATTCCTGAATGTGGAGACAGAGGTACAAGGCTCAAAGACAGGCAGAGCAAGATCCAGTGGCAGGCTGAGGTCAGCACCAAGGTCCAAAAGCAGATTGAGATCAGCACCAGGATAGCAGGCAGAGAATCAGAGACAAGCCTAGGTCAGAATCCAAAGAGTGAGCACAGGAACAAGCTGCGTCAGCAACGGAAGATTACTCATCAAAAGCAGGAACAAGGATCACAGGGACCTGAAGAACATCCAGCAATTAGCACACAGCAGGATCTCTTTTAAAAAGACAGCTTGGCGCCAATGCTAGTCTGTGTGCTGGTACATGTGCATGAGCACTAGTTGCATGGGAATGAGCATTAGCTGCATGGGAATGAGCATTTAGCTGTGTCAGTTCCTTGACAGGTTATGGTAATCTTCATTTCCAGGGTTATGTTTTATGGTTGAAGGGATAGAAAGGGCTCTTTTTCAATATTAGATGTTGAAGGGAGGTTAAGTGTCAGAAATTAATTTTTGGGAAGGTTAAATATTCAAGTATAGAAGAATTATGTGCTAAGAGATGCTTTAATTGAGGTAATAAAATGTCAGCCAGCTACTATTCAAACTAATTCTCAACAATGAAAGTCCTACTCAAGTATCAGATTCTTGGCACTGAGGACTAATGTATTTTTTAGGTTTATGTTTTGGAACTCAGAAAACTGTTAGAAGGGTGCAGTGCATACATACAGTATACAGTATATAGGGCAGATAATACACATGTTCATATCCATATAACATTCTCATTCATTTTTTTTATTGAAGATCCTTTTTTGAGTATTTTTAGCTAAAGATACATTTCTTTGCATGAACTAGTAGTGAGACCAGACTATTACTTTCCAAGACACTATAGAGTGTAAATGCACTAAGGTTTGGTTTCATTATAGTTCTCACTTGTTCAAAATGTTTTTTTCAACTTGATTTAATTACAAAAAATAATTATGTACCATAATCCCTTACATCCAATCAGATTTCAGATGTTTAATGTACGTACACCAATAAAAAGATAATTTCTAATGAATTTTTAAAGCCTATATTTAGCTAAAATAACACAAGGGACATTACTTACTATAAATGTGAGTAGTGTGTATAAGTAGTTACCTTGTGATGCTGTTTCCTGATGTAGTAGAAATCGTCCTCACTGCCCCAGTGGTATTTAGTTCCCTCCAGGCTTGCTAAGATCTATATTGAAGCATCCTCTCTTTGTTTCAGGGGATGCAGACAGGAAGGCCACATATGGTTCCACATATGGTGCACTTATCCAAAGGTTTGACAGTTCTGGACCAGAATGTTCATTCTCATACATACTGTAACTAATATTAATATACCTAAAAATGCAAGGACAGTGCTTTTGAATGAACCAATTGAAAACATCTCTAGACATACCCAAACCCTGATATTCTTCATATTTCTGACAGCTAAAATGCCAATAGTTAAAATATGGAAATCCCCTGTTATCCAAATGGCCTCCACAAAAATACACTTTTTTGGATTATGATCCATGAGCAGCTAACCAGTATCCTTGAGGACAAGCAAACCAGATTTGACAAGATCCAGAACCCTTGGCTATAATATCTGCAACCCACAGAATGATAGGGGGAGGACAAAGGGGCACTGGGGGCCGATGCAGGAGGAAAAGCTTATTGATACATCCTTGTATCTTCTTCTTTTCATTCTATCTTTTGTTTTGTTTTTCCTTTCTTTTTCTAATTCCTAATTCCTATTTGTTGTACCCTCATTTGAGGTTTGAACTATAGGATTCTATTTCTTTTGGTTGTGACAGTTTGCATACACACAAAGAAGCTGATCATCAGAGGATCATGCTTTATCCCGACACGGATACACAGATTGAAATACTGGGGCTTCCAGTGTTTTATGTTATGTAGACCCTCCTATTTTATGCTAATGTGTGATACATTTTGTAAACTTCAGTTTCCATGCTTCACTGTGCTTTGTTCTAATCTCTGATTTGAACAAATGTTTGTAATTCTTTTATTTTGTTAAACCAATAAACACATTGTAGAAGAAATATTCTACCTCCAATTCTCCATCTACCCCTGTTTTCATAAGCTTCTGGTGCAGCAGGGGTTAATAGAGTTGGGGGAGCTGAGACTCAAACCTCATCAAGAGTGCCTGACAATGAATGAAAAGCAATCTATGAATGGAGGATGCACATATGAATGAACGGTCCTCCTCCATTCATTGATTATGTTGCACTCAAAGGAGCAAGAGTACAACCACAATGAATACAGGAGGTGGGATAGAAAGGGTGGGTATAGTCAGGTAATCTTGATGAGTGCCTGTCACTGCTCCATCAGCACCTCTATGGTACCAAAAGTTTATGGTGGGGGTTGGGGGGGGGGGGTAAGAGGAGGAAGATTTTTGCTAAACCAGGAGCACGTATTACATTTTTATAAACATCCTTGGTACTTTCTTTTTTTTTTTCTCAATAAAGACTTTAATGAATTAATACATTTTGGTGCATGACTGCAGGCATAGACTAATCTTGCTAGGAAAGCTGATTATATTATTAAGCATAGGTTTTTGTTATTAAAATTTTCAGGATGTGCTTATATAACATCCTGAAATAGAGTTGGTAATGTAAAACATGTTACAAAACAACAATTTTATGCATATGAGACCTAGCTGGTTAATATAATTTTTTTCCATAAATACAATATACAGTGGTAGGACAAAACAAATGCATGAT